AGTCGGTGAGTGGGTCAGTGAGTGAGTGAGTGAGTCGGTGAGTGAGTCAGTGAGTGAGTGAGTGAGTCGGTGAGTGAGTCAGTGAGTGAGTGAGTGAGTGAGTGAGTGAGTGAGTGAGTGAGTGAGTGAGTGAGTGAGTGAGTGAGTGAGTGAGTGAGTGAGTGAGTGAGTGAGTGAGTGAGTGAGTGAGTGAGTGAGTGAGTGAGTGAGTGAGTGAGTGAGTGAGTGAGTGAGTGAGTGAGTGAGTGAGTGAGTGAGTCAGTGAGTGAGTGAGTGAGTCGGTGAGTGAGTCAGTGAGTGAGTGAGTGAGTGAGTGAGTCAGTGAGTGAGTGAGTGAGTCGGTGAGTGAGTCAGTGAGTGAGTGAGTGAGTGAGTGAGTCAGTGAGTGAGTGAGTGAGTCGGTGAGTGAGTCAGTGAGTGAGTGAGTGAGTGAGTGAGTCAGTGAGTGAGTGAGTGAGTCGGTGAGTGAGTCGGTGAGTGAGTCGGTGAGTGAGTGAGTGAGTCAGTGTTTTTTGAGTCAGTGGAATTTGTGCTCTGCATTTAACCCATCCAAGTGCGCACACACACAGTAGTGAACACACACACACCGTAAACACACACCCGGAGCAGTGGGCAGCCAATGCTGCAGTGCCCGGGGAGCAGTTGGAGGTTCGGTGCCTTGCTCAAGGGTCTCACCTCAGTAGTGGTATTGAAGGTGGAGAGAGCACTGGTTATTCACTCCCCCCACCGACAACAGTCCTTCTCATGTTCATCACATCTAAGTGTAATTAATGAATTTGATGTTGAGCAGCAAGACTAAAACTTATCTGCTTAGTCTAATTGTTTTGGTGAAAAGGCTTAATTTAATTGCATGAAAAAGTTCTCCTGATTTTAATTAAGCTCAGTGTGTGTTTTTATCTTTTTTGAGCATGTTCATACTACATTCCTGCAGTTGATTTTTGTAGCTTTTGACAGCGAGTGGCATGCTGGTGATTTGAGCAGAAGAACTGCATGAGTTAATTCAGTGAAGATGAGTCTGGATGTGGTAACCATGGAGATAAACTGATGAGGAGATGGAGGGAAAAGGTGAGGTTTTCCCTCACAGATGCTTCAGTCGCATACGATCAATCCCATGTTCTTGTTGTTGTGAGTGTGCAATGCATGTGAATACACATTAATATCATGG